ATCACGCGTATTATTACTATATATACACGACCAATCAAAAACGTGGAACTGCTTCGAGGACCCTCCGCTAAGGTGGCGCACCGAAACCAGAGAAAAATTGAGACCACCAGAAACAGGCTCATTGGCAATCTCCCTACTCATCTCTGGTGGATACAGGTCTCCCTATTTGAGTGTTCACCCAGTTTAAAATCGTGGATCTCAAGGAACACACAAATTCATTCGAACAATCAAAAACGTGGAACTAGTTCGAGAATCTCGTTCAGGTGGCGTGTCGACGCGCCACCTGAACGAGACTCTCGAACTAGTTCCACGTTTTTGATTGGTCGTGTATATATAGTAATACTACGCGTGATAATCTGGAGCTGTGTTTTGGCGCGTCGACGCGCCACCTGAACGAGACTCTCGAACTAGTTCCACGTTTTTGATTGGTCGTGTATATATAGTAATACTACGCGTGATAATCTGGAGCTGTGTTTTGGCGCGTCGACGCGCCAAAACACAGCTCCAGATTATCACGCGTAGTATTACTATATATACACGACCAATCAAAAACGTGGAACTGCTTCGAGGGCCCTCCGCTAAGGTGGCGCGCCGAAACCAGAGAAAAATTGCCTTCACCAAAAACAGGCTCATTGGCAATCTCCCTACTCATCTCTGGTATACATTTTTCCCTCCCAAAAAATGTCCCATGACAAGAAAACGACTCACGATGCCAAAAAGGAGCTTCTTCTTCAGACAGTGTGGACTTAGCTTTGAGAGAGTGAACAAGTATACTCACGGCACTTCTTCAGTTGGTTTTATTTTCCAATCCGCATACAGTCAATCTTTTTCTTGTCCGCACATTAGTGTAATATAAACTTTATTCTAATCTAGTATAAATTAATTCGCGTGTGTATTAATTAAATTTTTGGCGTATCATTAAAGAGTTAAACTATGTAAAAGAGGAAATTCTCGTGTTTATATCATTTCAAACTTCCCGGTCCTATTGCGCTATTTCTATAGCCAATACAGCAGCGAGTCCCTGACGAACCTCACGGTCCTGAACGGTCAATCAGCGAGGGACTTCAAGGTAATCAACTCGGGGACGTAACAAAGATAGAATTCTGTCGCACAAAGTTCATCTCGGCTCTACTTTCGGTGCGACAGAAAGTACTCCACGTGCGACGAAAGTACACCCACATCCCGTCAATTGTTAACGAATCAGCGTGATTTCGTCGCGCAACATTTCTCACGGTCGTATGCAGGGGGGTGACACTCCAAATGGGCTATAGTGAAACATAAATTAGTGATATAAGCTACCGATAAAATGGCGCAGCGGTAGCGTGCGCATGCGCAGCAATGCGCAGTCGCCATCTTGGAGAAAATAAGTTTGATGTGTAAACAAGTCCCTGTGCGTCACTGTCTTCGGATTCGGCGACGGCTTCGCATCTACGAATTTACGCTCGTGAATTTTGAATTGTGTTTAGTGCAATTACAGTGCAGAGTTTTCTCTTTGAGCGTGATTGTGTTCAGCATACAGACTATTTACTTGATGGAACTTTTGTGGACGACGATTTACAAGAATTACAACAACGAGACGAAGGCTACACCACTCATCTTTCCAGGCTAACCTTATTTCATACTTTCTTACTTTTCTATTCTTATTTGTCTATTCTGTTTTATTTTCTCTTATTGTTCTTCTACTTTCATATCCTAGAGCTTCATAATGCCTCCTTCGAAGAAAGACTTATCCTCTTCAAGATGTGTTGTTCCTGGTTGTGCATCGGTGTGCCTACAAGTGGGATCACAATGCTACCCAAAAGACTTAGAGCTATCGAAGGCCTGAGTAGAAGCAATGTGCAACCCCATGCTGAAGCATATCGATTCATAGCTTTTAAATAAAAATTATCATTTGTGTAAACTGCATTTTTCCTTGAAAGTCTATATACCTCATACTGCAAGGAAAAATATAGTATCATCATTGTGTCTGCTAATGATTTTAATGTAAATGTTACTACAAGTGCAACTACAGTAACAGATCTTATTTTTATTCAATAAATAACTTTTTATACCATACATAATTATGCATTTATTTTATTTCAGGTACTTGCAATTATGGTAAAATGAGACCAATCGTTTAAGCATATTAATTGTGCATATTTTCTTTTGCACCACATATTAACGTTTTAGGATGTTGTACGAGGGTCATACTTGTTTTTCATAATTGCAGGTGCTTTTAAAAATACCTTAGAAAACTTTAAGCGCGATGCGTATAGAACGGTGAGTATAAATACACGTGTATATCTATATATTGTGTATACCTATATATATATATATCACTGTATACCTACATATACCCCTGTATACCTATATATATCGCGTTAGTGATATAACCTACCGATAAGGTGGCGCTGCTGCTCGTGCTACAGTCTAAACAGAGATGAGTGGGGAGATGCACAACGCTCCGGTTTCAGGCGATACCAAAAGCATGGCGCTAAATCGTAGCGGCGAGTCCGGGAGTAGGATTTCGTGATCATCGCCTCTGTCGATGTTACAGATTTCGCGTAGCCGCGCGGGTCATGATCATCGTTCCAGCCGATATTGCAGTCAGCGAAAATGAATAGATTGCTCGGTGGTGGGGAAAAAGTTGCCGCCCCTCACAAGCCGCGCGGGTCATGATCATCGTTCCAGCCGATATTGCAGTCAGCGAAAATGAATGGATTGCTCGGTGATGGGGAAAAAGTTACCGCCCCTCACAAACCGTTCTTGACAAACAGGCGGAACAGCAAGGTCTTCCGTCCAACCGAACCCTAAACGTTTGTATGGACGTAATGCGCAAACAAATGTGTATATTCAAATAAATTTCAAAGTTATAAAAAATGCATAGAAATATTGGTTTTCACTCTTTACCTCTTATCATGCCGAAAATGAACATTAAAAAATGAATGGCGAAATTCGTTGGTAAATGAAACGACCGAGAACAGTTCAAAGAGAAATTTTGAAATATCATAGATAAAAAATGCATAGAAATATTGGTTTTCACTCTTTATCTCTTATCATGCCGAAAATAAACATTAAAAAATGAATAGCGAAATTCGTTGATAAATGAAACGACCGAGAACAGTTCAAAGAGTAATTTTGAAATATCATAGATAAATATCTATAATAAATTTAATTTAGTATTAAACGAGCATCGTAGCTGAGTCAATAACCTGT